CCGCCCTCCTTAATTACGTTTACTATAGATATAGTAGTAGAGTAATATAGTAGTTTATTATTAAAAAGCTATGCTTTTACGTTTATATAAAAGCTATAGGAAACTATAGAATACTACTAATCTATAATAACCGCCTTAGTATAAGATTAAGAGCGGCATGCTAATAAAACTAAGGCCTTAGTAAATAGGTTTATAGTAAGAGATAAGGTATAGCTTAACCTCTATAACTATAGGTTAGCGCGGCTAAAAAAGAAGCTAGACTAGCTATAAATAAAGTTTATAGTATAAAGGGTTATTAGCTTATAGGTAGTTAAGCTTAATAGTCTTTTAACGGGGGTCTATAATAAGATTAACGTTAACCTCCTTTACTAAGCTTCCTTTAACTTACTACTTAAATAAGAAGTAGTAGACGCTTAACCGCCCGCTATTAAGGTAAAATAAGATAATAAATTTAAGGTTAAGGAGATATAAGCTATACGCTAAAAGAAGGTTAGCTAAGGGAATTACTAAGGGGTCCTTATAAAGTAGCGCGGGTACCTTAACTTAATATAGGAACCTATATATAAGTTTATAAGAGCTATAGCCTTTAATAAGTTTAAGGCTTTATATAGACTAATAAATAAGAATAATAAACTAATAAACTATTAATAGTAGCTTAAGCTAGGACTATAAAGTAAGTAAAATAAAGGGGGTAGTTATAGTAACGCGGGCGTAATAGTATAAGTAGAGATAAAAATAGTATTTATTATAAAGTAAAGCCCTTAAACTACTTAAGCTTATATCTTATTATTATTATTACCTTTATTATTATTATTATTATCGTTATCCTTATTAGCCTCTTCTTACTTATTAGTAGTAGCGGCGGCGCTCTCTAGCGCGCTAAGTCGGCCCTCTAGGCCTATAAGCTAGTCGGTAGTAGCGGCGGCTCTAAAGGTAAAAGGGCGGCGGCTAGCTCTAGCGGCGGTAATAAGAGCGGTAGTAGCGGCGGCGGCGGGCATAGCTAAGGGGACCGCTAATAAAGTAATAAAGGCGGTATCCCTAGTACTAAGAGAGTTAATAGTGAAGGTAAAAAAGTAAAGGGGAAAGAACCTACTTAAGGATAAGCCCTTAGCGCTCTAAGGCGCGGAGGTTATAGTAAGCGGCTATAGCGGCGGTAAGGCGCTTCTTAGTAGCCCCCTATACCTACCTATATACGCTAGCCTTTTAAGCTAACGCTATAGTAAGTAAGATAGGAGGCGCCGCCTTATAAGCGCGGCTAGTATATATATACTAGTAATAACTATTACTACGGCGGCGCCTAACTTAGTCGGCGTAAGGGAGCTCCTATAATATATACTATATATAAGGGGCCGCGCGAGTAGCTCTAGCCTAGACCTAGCACTTATACTTTAAAAGGTTAGCGAAAGAGGTCTATTATACTTACTTAACTATAAACTTATAAGGGTAGCGGAGATAGAGGTAGGGGCTAAGGAGCCGGGCATTATAAGTAGCGGTAGGGATAGCGTTATTACTTTAAAGGGCAACGTAAGAGCGGCTAGCGTAGTAGAGGCATTAGTAGCGGTAGTAGGCGCGGTAGTAAGGGCGCGGGCGGGAGTAGTAGTAGTAGCAGAGCTATTATTAGCCGCGCTTAGTATAGCGTCGACGAACGACTTTATACGCTTTAAGAAAGAGGAAGTAAGGGAGGGGGAGGTAGATATATTTATTATAGAAGTTAGTATTATAGATTACGGCCTCCTACTCTATAAGGTAGAGAACTTACTAATTAAAGTTATTATTATTATTAAGGCTATTATTACTACTATAGCTATTACTATAAGTATATATTAATAGAGCGGCCTATATAGCTAAGAACGAACTAATACTTTAGGTAAAGTAGAACTTACTTATTACTATTACTATTATAATTAAAGAAAGAAGAGAAGGAAGAGGAAGAAAAAGAGGAAATACCGCTTTATATACCCCTTAGTAAAGGAAGCTACCTAAGGCTAAGGGGATAGGTAACCTAAGGCTTATATAGGTCTAGGCCGGCCGCCGGCTATCTAAGAGCGTATATAATAAGTTACGCCCTTATTTAAACGGCTAGCTAGCTAATAAGTATAAAGCTAAGTTATAGCTACTTAGGCTAATAAGTATAAGGATAATAGGGCTAGTAGGGCTAGTATAATTAACGGGGAAAGGGCTAGGTAGAGCTAGCAGTATAGGCTTAATAGTATAGAAGCTATTAATAGGGCAGCGCCGCGCCGCGCTTAAGGGAGGGTATTATATAAAAGTCTTTAACTATTATAGGTTATAAGCTTAAGCTATAGCCTAAGCTATATAGTTATATATAGAGGGCCGGATCCTATATATATATATATAGGCTAGCTATATATAGAAGAGCTTTATATAGCTTATTAATATTATCTTATAGATAGTACTTATATATATACCTTTACTTACTCTATAATATAACCTAGCCTTAGTCCCTTTAGTAGGCTCTTACTAAGGTATTAAATATAACCGCGATATCCCTACTTTAAAGGCGCCTCGCTACTATAGCGCTTATAGCTTTTAAGGCCGTATTTACCGCCTTTACTATATCCTTTAGTTTATAGCTTAGGATTTTAGGCGGTGCTTTAGTAGGGACTATAATAATCCCGCGTTCGTAGTATAGTAAGACCTATTTTACTATAGCTTTATATTAGGTCGGTTAATATATATAAACCGCCTATTAAGGTTCTAAGGGACCTTTTTTTATTTTTAAGGCTATAGGTAATATAATTAATACTCTAGCTACTATATTTAAAGCTAGGAGGCTATAAGCTACTAATTTTACTTATTAAGGCTATAGCTAACCTTATTAAAGAGTAGTCGGATCGTACGGTTAACTTAACTATAGTTTTCTAGCCCTATAATAAGGCAACGGACTTCTTATAATAGTTTAAGCGTTTTAAGGGTATTATAAATAGCTAGGGTACTAGAATTCTTTCTTTTAATAGCGTTAACGGCGTTAATAGCTATAGTAAGACAAACTAGCTTATAGTCCTAACCTATACTACCCGCCCTTAATATTCTTTTTAGTTAGACCGGCCTACTAAGCTTATATAAGGAACGGTGTTCCTACTATAAATAAAGCAGCTATAATATACTCTCCCGATTATATAAGCCAATAAGTAGTATATTAATTATAGATAAAACTCTATATTATAGAGCAAGAATAGCTCGTTATTTTATATGTTATTATACATTAAACGGGTTACTAGTTATCGTATAGTCGGGAATCGAAGAAATAGAGCTAGCTTAGAATACTAGCTAAGACCTCTTAAGAATACTAGCACGACTAACCTCCTTTAAACACGAATATTAGTAGAACCAAGACACTTCCTAATATACTCGAGGTATCACGGAATTCCTTAGTCTTAGGGCTATACGGCAGCCTAAATCTAGTCCCGAAAGGTTCTTCCGTTAAGCTATAATTGTCTATATAAGATAGTATGTCCGCTAGTAGATAGAGAGAGAATTAAAAAAAAAAGAAAAAACACCTCTTCTATACACTAATATATTACTAATAAATTCTACTGAAAATCCTACCTTATACTCCTTCTTCCCCTCTATTACGTAGTCTTACGTAATTCCTTAATTTCCTAAAATTCCGCTTTTACTTATATACCTTTAGAGCTTAATAATATACTTAGAAGAAGGTAGCTTTACTAATTAACGCTATATTATTAAAAGATAGAATTTTTTAAAGTTAACGTTAGTAAGCAGCCTTAATTAGCGAGAAAACTAAGATATTAAGAGGTTAAAGGATATAGGAAGAGTATACTAATAGAAAAAGAAGATAAATATAATTCTTAAAGTATTTATATATAAAATCGTTAGTCTAATAGCTCCTATAGCTATTAACGATAAAGAGAACGTTCCTTTATAGGTAGCGCCTTATTTAAGGGATAAATACCTACTTAAGCTATTAAATAGTAATAAAATCGCTTATCTAGCCTTTTAAGGAAGTAATAAAGTCCTAATCCTTTAGAAAATTAAGTTTATTAAGGAACTATTACTATTAAAGGTCCTAGCCCTTAAAGATTATAAAGGGGGTTAAGGCCTAGCCTATTATAAAAACGTATTCGACGATTATAGTCTAATAACGCGATCTAAGCCGCTTCTTAATAGCATCCTTCTTCTCTAAGCTCCCTAGTACTAGCCTATTATAGCTAAGGCCCTTAAGGATACCTATTTCGTTTATATTAAAGCGTGATTTTAGTAGGATTACTTATATAACTATACGATCTAACTACTCTTTTATAAGGTTAGCTATAGCTTTAATAAGTAAAATTAATAGCTTATAGCCTCCTAGCTTTAAAAATAATAGCTAGAGTATTAATTATATCGTTTATGGCCTTAAAAATAGAAAAAGGTCCCTTAGGACCTTAATAAGCGGTTTATATAGATTAAATAAGTTATAAAGATAAAGAAATAGCTCGAGGGCACGCTTAAGTCGGCTACCGCCGCTATAGCTAATTAAAACATAGGATTTAAAGCTCTTTATAATAGCTAGTAGCTAGAGTAGCTAGAAATACTAAATTTAATTATCGTAATATTAAATATAGCTTTAATTACGTTTAAAATATACCTGCCTTAGTGCTCCGAAGGGTGCCGGAAGTAAGGGGTGCCGGAAGCTAGGTATGCTAACTTAATATATTAGACATTTAGCTTAGAGATAGCATTAGGCAATTAATAAGAATTCTCTAAAGAATAAGAAGTAAATAAACGAACGCACGGAGTTGTGCAGCTCTTTATATATAAATGAAAGGTCCGTCGCGTGATTATGCAGTAGCGGTTGCCTAGCAGGCAACAGCGGCGTTGCGAGTAACATCGCCACTTTATAAATAATCATCCTAGGCAGGCTTGATATGCGACACAAATTGGCTGGTACAAGTCTGTGGCGCTATTTGCCACAAGTACATATTTTTGGTAGGCCGCGCATTCAGACAAGTAGGCTGTCTGGTCAAGGCCAAGAGTTATGTCTTTGCCCAGTCCTGAACAGTGACGTTGAAAGTTGCAACATTCTTCGTTAAGAACGGTGACAAAAACCAACCGCCTGGATGACTGTACCACGAATTAAGGTTGGCAAGTTTATCGTTCTTGATATTAAGATCTGATTCGGCGCATTGTGCGCGTAGCTTGATATCTGTGTGTCAAAGACCACTAGGTTAGTTTCAATTTCCGTGAAGGCATCTCGTTTTTGTTCTCGTACCTTGAACTTCAAACTTGTCGTTACGCTCGGGCTCCAAAGTCCAGAAGATTCCCTTGGCAGTAAGTTTAATCGTACTAATACCGTTAATGTCGATCGTGTCCGAACCAAATGATGATTGCAAATCCACCGGCGTCCAAGCCTGGAATCCTCTCTCGGGTTTGTCTGCGATATCCAACGTAGCTTGACCAGCCGGACCCTCCAGGACAGCCCCAATATGATCATAGGTTCCAGACCAAAAATCGTCTGATAATGTGATGCCGAACTCGAGTTTCTTGATCTTTTGACAAGGTCCCGGAGGGATATTTTGAGGTACTGCACCTTTCTTAATCTCGCCATTTACGCACTGGGCGCCGTTGAACGCCGAGTTAGCCGCCACTTTCCAAACCTCCTTTATATCGGTCAGCATTGGTGCGGTCCACCAGAGGCGGCAGTCCGAGTTGTGAGAGTTATACTGGGTTGGTACACCGTCGTTGACATGATCCCGGAGGATCCAGTCGGCTGTATTTACACTCGTTCCAAGAGATCGCCGGAAAGCCACGTCAGTGTATCGGTTAAGGGCAGCAACCAGCTTAGGGTCTGTTGTCGATTCTTTTGCGAGCTGTGCGTATTCATACACCTTGTTGTACGATACGATGGGACCACCCCTGGCGCCCCCGGCGCCCCGCATAGGACCTGGCGTAGGACGTCCGCCAAACACAATCGACTTAACACCACCGTAGATAGTTAGACTCTCAGAGAGGAAAGCGCAGCCGGAATTGCAGGTACCGTCATGGACAATGGCAATATTCTCGGGTTTAAAGGGCTGCGCCTGGTGAGCTAGCGATCCATAGCCGGAAATCTCTATGCCCACGCCATACGTCTCATTCTTGGTGATCAGGGGGTTGTTAGGATCCCAGCGATAAAGGGCCGTGTATTCCGTGTTCTTGAAGACGTTGCGGCCGCTAAACTTGTCCTCGAATTTATTAAATGGTTGGTTGTTGCTATCCAGGCCGAAGTGGTAGTCTGTATACCACAGACTTGAATCCCAAGCCGCGCGCTCGTTATGTGTATTCAAGGGGTCAATATCCTTTATCTGATCACTAATAGCGCGGGCTATCGCGTAAGACCCATCAGAGACCTTATTGCGGAAGAAAAAATCTTCTTGTATATCGGGGAACAACTGGCGAAATAAGTCGACAACCAGCCAGATAATGCCTCCAAGATTGGACTGGACGTCAATAAGCAGCTTGTTCCTTCCATCGGAAACGGCCTTTTGAAAGAAGTCCCGACACGCGGTCTGGAACTCGGCAATTTTCGCGGTAGCGAAACTAGCGATAACAATAACAGCAACATCTTGGAGACCATCTTCAGTGAGATAGTAGCCAGATACGACAGCATCAGAGGAAGAGATGATGGGCTTAGGATAAGTAATGATGGCGCCGTCCTTTGCACCGGGTAGGGGACCGATCGGAGGGATGTATGGATGCTTTAGAGCGGGGGGTTCTGGCGCAGGAGCGCAGAACCTCGAGTAAACGGAAGCTCCATCGGTGATGCCGCCCCAGTTACCCAAAACACGGGCCGTGTTCTCCACGGTCAATGTTGTTCCATTGCTGAATTTGAAGCTGGTGGACGGCCCCGGGTAGAGCAAGGCCCCATAGCCATTGCCTTTAAAAAATCCGCTCGAGCCGGTCAAAACATTAGCAGATCGTTGGAGGAACATGGAGTTATAAGCAGCGTCGATATCGCTATACCAGGTACTTTTCGTAGCCACTTCCTCGATAAATGTAGCTGCATCCATGTCATTGATTCGTGTGATAGCAGGAGCCGTCTTGGGGTCTGCCTTGACATCCTCTTAAGGAGTATTAGCCAATGATGGAGTAGGCGGAGCAGATCTAGGTAGGCTGGGGCTTACTATAAAGTTTAATGACTGGCAGGGACTTTCCATCCTCGCTAATCGACACCAGAACGTCGTCACGCGACCACTGAAAAGCCTTGGAAAGTAAATCCGGATAAAATAAAAAATGGCTGTCATGGCCTGGTGCGAAGACGGATTCGAACAAATCTGTTTGGAAGGCGTATTCGCGAGCGTACTTGTCGGTCTGCAACTTGACCTTGATCTCTGCCAGGTTGGCAAACATGTCGTAGCCGGCAAAGGGGTAGCTTGCAGGCGGGTCGGCCTTATAAGCGGCGTCTGACTGCCACTCCAGGTACGGCTGTATCGAGTCGACAAGTGCAATGGCTGCCTCCTTGTCCAGCGGGACTGTGTTGAGGCACTCGTACGCCGTCGCGGCCGGTACCCTCACGGGAACCTTCGGCACTACGTTGGCCTTCTCAGCCCACAAGGCGCTGATGCGGCCGCACGCGTTGTCCGCGGCTCCAGCAGCGGCCAACAAGAGGGGTGCTGTCGCGATGATGAAATTGCGCATTTTGTTTTGTGATCTCGTGTGCTACGAGGCAAGGGTTTGTATCTTGCTTTACCGCTGGGGCTCGACGCGGATATATTTAAATGCTTTTAATTTTGTTCAGAACCCGCCGAAGGATCAAAAACCTTTGAGGTACATCTGACATGCAAGGTCTTTCGGACCGACCTGGAACGGAGCGCCTTGAACGCAACCAGCAAGCGTACCTAAATTGACGGCATTATAGGAGTTTGCGTTAAATTACTAAATGTAACGGGTTTGGGACGACGGGTTCGAAGAAGTATAGTTCGTATTTTTGAGGCGTGCCTGTGCTAGTGGACGTTTTAGGGGGTCGAGATTCGCTTAAATTAGGGCGAGATCGGGGACAGGGTAGCTTGCGCAAGGCGGGGGCACGATATTAGGGGTGCGCTAGAATGCACATAACGACTATAATCGAGTCAAGGTACTTATACGAAGTAGAATGTTTCTGTTGCAAACAGAGGGCAGGACCGACGCCAGGGCTACGCAGCCAATTCACTGCGCAAACCCTGGGCGCAGCCCTAGCCCTCATTTACAGGGGTCAGCCATATAGGCTATAAGACCAGACCCCTTGGCCAAGGGCGGCCTATATATATAGCTTCCTTTTTCTAGTATCTTTATATCTTTAAGAGCTCTTTTCTATAGGTTATAATAGCCCTTTAACGCTTACCTCTATAATAACTTACCCGTGCGAAGATTCGTGCGAAGAATATAGCTATTAAAGCTATCGTGGGTCCTAAAGAATAGGAAGGGAGCGGCGGCCTCGGAATTAAGACTATCGACGCCTACGAATTATACTAAAAACCTGGATTAAGCGGAACGCACTAATAGCATCTATAGCCGTAAGATAAGGGCGAGATACGGGCATAGATAAGCTTAAGGGCTAAGAAAATTATAATTTATAGGCTATAGAATTAATTATAGCCCTAGGAGTAGACTGTTTTAAGGGCTATATAGATAAGACTATAGCCTAGCCGGCCGTTAGTACCCCCCCTTATAACTAATAGGATATAAACGATAGAGTCGCGAAGTATAGTATTATCGCTAGCCTAGCCTTAGAAATAAGGGACCTTATCGTTAAGAAGAGCTAGTATAATAATATAACGGTTAAAGAGACTATAGATATAATAAAGGAGTTATTAATAAAGGTCCCTAAGGTTATATTTTACTTTATATTTATAGAGCTTATTAGTATTAACGCGAGGAAGTTTATAGATATAAGGGAATTTATAAAGAAGCTATATTAGTACTAGGATTAGCTTATTATAGTAGAAAATAATATACTAAAGAGAGTCTTTATAGTCTCTACCCTTTAAAGCATTTAAAAGCATCGCCTTAACTAGTATAATAACTAGGCCTACGATAAATAACTTAGTAGTAGGATCTCTAAAAACGAGCTTTATAAGTAGCTTATAAGGAGGGTAAGAGCTAAGAAGTTAGAGTTACTAGCTAATACCGCCTTTAGTAAGAGCGGTAATAATAATAAGAGCTTAGGTAATAGCGACTCTATAAGGAATAATAATTCTATAAGTAGTAGGATAGGAAGCCGACCTTAAGGGCGTATTAATAACTTAGTAAACCCTATTATACTTAAATACGGTTATAAAGTTAAGGTAGGAGGCCCTATTTATAATAAAGCGGACTATTAAACTAAGTATCCTAAGAAGGCCCTTAATTTCTAGAGAGACTAGAAAACTTAATATACTACTAAAAAGGTAGGTAACATAGATATTATAACCGCTAGCAGCGAATTTAACAGCTGCTTAATAAGTAGTATACTTATAGGCTATATACTAATTCGTAATAAAGCTATTATAGACTTTAGCTATACTATATACTACTTTAATAATTTAAAGTAGTTTACTAATATTAAAGCTATTAACCCTTTTTTAATAATAGCCTTTAATAGTAGCCCTCTTTAAGTAAAAGTAGTAAGCATAGTTAAAATTAATATTAGTAGCATTATATTAAAGCTATTAAACGTAAACTACGCTCTAGTATCGCTAGCTAACCTTATTAGTAACTATTGCCTTAGAGAGAAGGGAATTAAGCTTAATAATATTAATAAAAACTAGTCTATATTCCCTTAGGTAGTAAGGTATATAATATCGCTTAAAAAAGGTATATTATAACTATTTAGAATATATAGCTAGGAGGCAAGTGCGAAATACTTAGCCTTATAGCCTTACCGTGCTAAGAGAGGCGGAAATTAAACTATATAATAATATATTGCCGTTTAAGCTACGCCGGCCTAGAGAGAGTCCTTAAAGCATACGAAAAAGTAAGTATTAAGGTTAGTAAGGAAGAGGCTATAGGATTTAACTATAAAGCGTGCTACTTAGGTAAGGCGGACGCCTTAATTAGCTATAGTTTAAGCGTTATAGCCTAGGGGTTCCTTTTATAAATATATTAGGACTTCCTTTAATATAAGCTAATTAGCTATAGGGGAATAAGATACTACTTATATAGTATTAACGCCTTTATAAGATTCTATTAAGTATTATTCTTACTTATAAGAGATATAGTATTTAATATATTAATAGGTTAAAAGTTATAGGTCGAGAATAGCGTTAGCGGCGTACTTATATAAGTAATAGCCTTCGATAATACTATAGAATTTTATATTAAGAGGATAAAGGCTTAGTCTAAAAAGGATTACTTTATATTACGCTATAAGGCCCCTTATATACTATAATAAAATAGTAAGGCTAAAAGATCTAGCTATATACTTATTAAGTCTACTAAGGTAATATATATTAAGGTAGGGCTCCTAGAGATACTATAGCCTTAATATATAGAAACTACTATATATATAGCTAACCTTCTTCCTATATATAGTAATACTTTAAGGGAGGCGCCTTTAAAATCCTTATTTAAAGAAATTAAGGTCCTATATAAATATAGTCTTAAATATATCTAGACTTAAGGTTATACTATATATATAACTAAGCTATAGAAGACCTTAGTATAGGCAGCGAAAATAAACCTTAGGGTATAAAAAGGTAGACTTATAGGTCTTAAGGGGCTCTATAGCTATATCTATATAGTATAGCTCTCTAAATAAAAGAAAATTATACTAGCTAAGGATATATATTTTTATAAGGCTATTAGAAAGGCCTTACTCTTTAAGGAAGAAAACTATAATATTATAATCTTTAAAGAAAAAGATAAAAAGGAAGCTAGTACCGTTAAGGACGTAATACCCTACTATAGGGGTTAATAGGATTAAGAGGATTACTAAGATAAATAAGAATATTAAGATCCTTAAGATAATAATAACTTAAAGGGCGACGACTAAGATAAATACTATATTATATTTAAAGAGCGTAAGGAGCTATAGACCTTAGAGCGGTAATAGCTACTACTAACTCCCTAGGATACCTTAGTAGTATTAAGGGTAGTAGAATTAAGTAATAATAATATAGATATCTTAATACTTAATATACTAACCTAGGGGCTAGAGGTCTACCTAGGAGCTTTTATAGAGACCTTAAGGTAGGAGGGATAATTAGTTCTATATACGCTTAATTTTAATAGGAAGAGAACCTAGGATTCCCCGCCTAAGGCGCTACGTGTAAATAAGGTATACCGACTAAATAACTAACTAACCCGCCGGTAGATAGCCTAAGCAGCTATAGTTAAAGGAGGGTTAGCTAGTATACTATTAAAGGCGCCCTCTATAGAATTAGTTATTAAGGACTATAACTAGTAGTATTAGCTATTATATCTAGGAGCGTTAATAGCTCTTAGGGCATTTTATTATAAAAAGTATTAATTTAATAACCCTTATAAGTAATTAATACTCTTTATATTTAGTACGATAAAAGCTATAGCTATAAGTACGCTACTTATATTAAAATAGGCCTTAAAAAGAAGGGACTATAAGACTTATTAGCTGCCTATAATATAGTAGGAAATAAATAAGCTATACTAAAAAGAGGCTTATACCTTAGTCTAAAGGCCCCTAGGTATATATATATTTACCGGGAAATAGGTCTATCTTAAGAAGCCGATTTTAAGTAAGGAGCCCCTTACTAAAGCTTATTAAGTAGTTTAAGGAGATTAGGACCTAAAAGATAAGCCTACTAAAGAGCTCTATATAGCTATAGCTTACTAAGCCTTATTATAAGGAACGGTGTTCCTACTATAAATAAAGTAGCTATAATATACTCTCCCGATTATATAAGCTAATAAGTAGTATATTAATTATAGATAAAATCTTATCTTATAGAGCAAGAATCGCTTGTTATTTTATATGTTATTATGCATTAAACGGGTTGCCGGTTATCGTACAATCGGGAATCGAAGGAACAGAGCTAGCTTAGAATGCTAGCTAAGACCTCTTAAGAACACTAGCACGACTAACCTCCTTTAAACACGAATATTAGTGGAACTAAGACACTTCTAGATTCACTCGAGGTATCACGGAATTCCCTAGTCTCAGGGCTATACGGCAGCCTAAATCTGGTCCCGAAAGGTTCTTCCGTTTAGCTATAATTGTCTATATAAGACAGCATGTCCGCTAGTAGATAGATAAAAAAACTTAAAACTTTAACACCTCTTCTATACACTAATACATTACTAATAAATTCTATTAAAAATCCTACCTTATACTCCTTCTTCCCCTCTATTACGTAGTCTTACGTAATTACTTAATTTCCTAAAATTCCGCTTTTACTTATATACCTTAAGACTTATTAAAGCTATTTATAATAATTATCGCGGTCTAAGACCTTAAGTAAGAATAATTTAATATTATATATATATATATATATATAGAAGTATAAGAGGAAGTCTTTATTATATAACCTAATAGACTTAATAATAGTATAGGCTAACCCTCGTAGTATAGTAGTTATATACCTAAGAAGCCTACTAGCTATAACGCTAAAGTCGGTTTAAATCTAGCTAGAGGCACGATTAAATTTTAGTTAGACTAGTAAACTACGCTAACCTACTTATTAATTAGCTAATTAGCGCTTCTAAAA